TAGAGATGGGGTTTCACCATGTTGACCAGGATGGTCTCGATCTCTTGACCTTGTGATCCACCCGCCTCGGCCTCCCAAAGTGCTGGGATTACAGGCTTGAGCCACCGCGCCCGGCCCTTAAATATTTTTAAAGTGTCTTAACATCTAATGATGCTAGGACTAGATGTTACAAGGAAATGTATGAACTCCTTGTTAAAAAAAATTTTCTAAGTCCCAGATGTGTCTTGTAAATATTTTAAAACAGATACAAAGTGGAAACTTTAGGTTTGATTACCTATTGTTTGTTCAAGATTGTTCAAACCTTTCCTTTAAAAAAAAAAAAAAAAAAAGATGCTTGAGTTAATTATAGTTAATAAGCCAGAGCAAAGAATTGAAGTTGCAACTCAATACTAGAAAATTTAGATGAACCTCTTAATTCTTAGTGCTTATTTCAGTAAGTTGAAATGAGTGATAAGCACAATAGCAAACCATTGCCTTATTTATCATAGCTAACTTATTTTTTGTCTTAACACAGCTACAGAAAGATCTAGAAGAGGTAAAGGTGTTGCTGGAAAAGGCTACTAGGAAAAGAATACGAGATGCCCTTACAGCTGAAAAATCCAAGATTGAGACAGAAATCAAGAACAAGATGCAACAGAAATCACAGAAGAAAGCAGAGCTTCTTGACAATGAAAAGCCAGCTGCTGTGGTTGCTCCCATTACAACCGGCTATACAGTGAAAATCAGTAATTATGGTATGATTTGCTTCCCTAGACCAGTTCTGCCTCCGAGCAACCTATTCCTCATAGTGATCTAGTAACAAATTCATCTTTAAAAGAGTTTTGAGTGTGTGTTTTTGGTGGCTTGGAGGAAGACCCATCCGTTTTTATTTAATAAAATTTTTTTTCGATATGAATAGGAAAGGATAATTTACAGAAGCTGTTAACAGTAAGGTGATATTCAGTGCAAAGATAAGGAGTAGCAACAAGGAAGGAACTTACTCTGAAATTGTTCAGTATACATGAGGCACTGCAGTGGTGGTGGTGTTGAATCATGTTTTATGTTGCACTCTGACAGCCACCGCAATTAACTGAGGAGAAGAATCCAGTTCAATTCAATAAATGTTTTTGAGCACTTAGTGTGTATCACTGTTGTGCTTGGACTTAAGGATACACAACAGTGACTAAGACCCAATCCCTGCTCATGGCGTGGCTGGGACACAGACATATAACTCACACTCTAACAATGTATTAATACTGTTTTCTTTCAATGGTGTATTCAGCCTTTTGTTTTGGCGGCAGTACAACTTGAATATGAGTGATTAGCTCTCATGAGAGCAAGGACAGTCTTTGTGCTCATAGTGTCTGGCACATAGTGGATAATATAGCTGAGGAAATAATTCTGGAGGTGAGAAACAGGGAGAATTAGATTTGAGTGTGAAGGGTGAGTTGTATATTCAATAAGTTGAAAAAGAAGGGAGCAGCATGAGCAGAGGAAGAGTGGGAAGGCATGATGTATTTTGAATATTGCTATAGTGAAAAGTATGTGTACGCTGGTCTCAAACTCCTGACCTCCAGTGATCCACTGGCCTCAGCCTCCCAAAGTGCTGGGATTACCGGTGTGAGCCACTCCACCTGGCCAGAGTTCAACTTTTTATACTATGTCATCTGTTAAAGATAGGCAAAACTAGGGTATCTGACTTAGATAATAAAAGACTTGTAGTAAAGTAAAAGCAGTAGTAGTTCTGTTACTGCATTTTTTTATAAGACTAAAAGATATTCAAACTTGTGCTTCTGAGTTTTTTTTTTTTTTTTTAGATGGATTTTCGCTCTTGTTGCCCAGGTTAGAGTGCAATGGCGTGATCTCTGCTCACTGCAACCTCTGCCTCCCGGGGTCAAGTGAGTCTCCTGCCTCAGCCTCCCGAGTAGCTGGGATTGCAACCATGCGCCACCATGCCTGGATAATTTTGTATTTTTAATAGAGACTGGGTTTCTCCATGTTGGTTAGTCTGGTCTCGAACTCCCAGCCTCAGGTGATCCACCCGCCTCAGCCCCCCAAAGTGCTGGGATTACAGGCGTGAACCACCATGCCCAGCCCTGATATTGAGTTATTAAGCACTTAAAGATTTTTTTTAATTGAGCTTTTGATATAATCAAGCTGTGACACATGATTTTTTTTGGTCAGGTTGCTAGTATCAAGCCCAGAATGCCTAAGAGATCTACTATATAGTAATACAGGAAATTGTACCGTGTGCTTAGTTGAGTACAGGAAACTGATCTGAAAGTGTTTAGGATTATGGCATTTTAACCAGGAACATAGATTTGTGTTGAGGGACAAAATGTTGTCAATCCAGAGAATGGACTGACTGAATGGGAAGAAACTATTAATAAATGAAGTTCTCTGAAACCCTCTAGGGCATTTGATTAACACTATGTTTCTTTTTAATTTTTGTGGGTACACAGTAGTTGTATATATTTGTGGGGTACATGAGCTGTTTTGATATAGGCATGCAGTGTGAAAAACACATCATGGAGAATGGGGCATGTTTCTATTCTGTAGGACTAAGTGAGGAACAGTCAGGGATGTGTACGTATACTTGATAAACAGAAGATGCTTTTTTGCGAAGCTTTTTATTTTCTACAAATGAGATGGTATTTTGTGAAGTTTATGTGTCTTTTATGTTGACAGAGTTCTAGGTTAGAGACTTGTTGGTAGTTTGATAATACATACTGAAATGGCATTTAATAGATACCGGTAGGTATGTCAGATTTGGATGAAGAATTGGGAGTCTTTTACATTCCATTTTGCCCTGGAAAGGAATTAAGGGAGCTAGGATTGCATTTGTTAGACTACTTAGAGAAGTAGAAATGATATGGAATTAGACTTCAGCCATCCAACTAAGTGGAGAACTACCAGTATTTAGATGTAGGACAAAATTATTTCCATAAAAATGGTAAATGAACTAGTCTTAAAGAACGTATTTAGTGATCATATTTTTATTCTAAGGGATAAAAAGAGCATGGGCTTTGTGTTCAGAAACCTGGATTTGAATCTGAATTAGTCTGGCACTTGTTAGATGCCTAACTTTGGGTAGAGTACTTAGCTGCTTTGAGGCTCCATTTCTCAACCTTGAAAATTTCTTATATTTCAAATTTTTTCATGTTTATATGACTGGATTTTCATGTTTTTACTTTCCTGAATTTTGAGCCATGTGCATTTGCTGTTGGTAGATACAGTTTCAGAGACTTACTTGTGTTCCATCTTTTGTTGTTGCCAGGATGGGATCAGTCAGATAAGTTTGTGAAAATCTACATTACCTTAACTGGAGTTCATCAAGTTCCCACTGAGAATGTGCAGGTGCATTTCACAGAGAGGTGAGTTCTCATTATAATGGGGAAGACAGTGATTATTAACAGTCAACATTGCCTCATCTTGGGACTCTTTTCTTTGCAGTTAGTAAAATTCTTCTTAAATTTAGAATTAATTAATCTTTACAACTACTAGGAGGTAAGCGTTAAAATCATCTGGGATGGCCACACACACACCCTGAAATAAAGCCAGTGGCTTTTTTTTTCCACAAGAACTATGGAGTACCTTTCGTAGAACTAGAAAGATCATATTCCCCATTTTGTTGCAGGTCATTTGATCTTTTGGTAAAGAATCTAAATGGGAAGAGTTACTCCATGATTGTGAACAATCTCTTGAAACCCATCTCAGTGGAAGGCAGTTCCAAAAAAGTAAGTGTGCTTTATTTGGTCATACTGTTGTGAAACCTTACTAAATTGAACCTGGCTGATTTAGAATTGAGATGAACTGGAATGAATTTGTCCACTGTAACAGAGACTACTGCCTGTTTTGCAAATGTTTTATTGGAACATAGCCATGCTTATTTATTTGTGTGTTGTTTGTGGCTGCTTTTGTACTACAATGGCAGAGTTAAGTGGCCGCAGCAGACCATATGGCCCGTGAAACCTAAAATATTTACTATGTGGCCCTTGACAGAGAACGTTTGCCGACTCCTTTTGTAGAAGAATAGACTATTATAAGAATATTCCAGAGGCCAAGCTGGGTGGATCATGAGGTCAAGAGATCGAGACCATCCTGGCCAACATGGTGAAACCCTGTCTCTACTAAAAATACAAAAATTAGCCGGGCGCGGTGGCATGCACCTGTGGTCCCAGCTACTCAGGAGGCTGAGGTGGAAGAATTGCTTGAACCCAGGAGGCAGAGGTTGCAGTGAGCTGAGATTGCGCCACTGTTCTCCAGCCTGGCGACAGAGCAAGACTCCGTCTCAAAAAAAAAAGAATATTCCAGGCCAGAGTGGCTCATGCCTGCAACCCCAGCAGTTTGGGAGGCTGAGGTGGGTGGATCACAAGGTCAGGAGTTCAAGACCAGCCTGGCCAAGATAGTAAAAACCTCGTCTCTACTAAAAATACAGAAATTGGCCAGGCATGGTGGCGGGCGCCTGTAATTCCAGCTACTCGGGAGGCTGAGGTAGAGAACCGCTTGAACACGGGAGGTGGAGGTTGCAGTGAGCCAAGATCATGCCACTGCAGTCCAGCCTAGGCAACAAAGCAGGACTGTCTCAAAAAAAAAAAAAAAAAATTCCATTTAAATCAGGAAATAAACGTTTGAAGGTCGTTAAAAGTGAGACTTGAATTTTATGCCAGCTTTACCGCTTAGTGTTTTTGACCTTTGGCAGCTTAATCACTCTGTGCCTCAGTGTCTGCATTTATGTGATAGTAATAATTTATTTCACAAAGTTGAAATGATACACTGAAGTGCAATACCATTCTGTAAGTGCTTAAATCAATGGTAGTGTCAGCACTGTGCATAATATTTGTATGCATAAAAGGAGGTCTTAAGCACTCAGCCTCCTTGGTGTTGGAAGCAGCTGTAAAAATAATGAAACTGTCTTTTAAAAACTACTATTCATAATTTTTATTAAATCAGATAGTCCCTCTTTTCTGCCTAATTTGAATAAATGAAGTTCACTGCATTAGGTATATAGACATGCCATTCTGCCATCTGTTTTTATAATACATAGTTGTCTAACAGCTTACAGGTAATACTAAAACATAGTTGGATCAGCTGTCTTACTGCACCCTTCTGCATCCACTAGTCCCATAGGTGGAGTACCAAAAGATCCCTAGAAGTTGTATTAATCATTGTTGAAAGACCTGTGCAGTGCCCTTCTTTCTCACTTCCCAGATGCCTCATCTTGTCCCATACTGCCTCATTTGACTTGGTTTCTTGCCTGTCCCCAACTCCTATTATATTACTGTCTCCTTCGGTCACTAAAATCCAGCCACTCCTCCTGTTCCTCAAACACACCAAGATCATCCAATCTTGGAGCCATTCTACATGCTCTGCCAACTGCCTTCTCCTGACCTTAGGCTTCAGCTCAGATTTTGCCTCAGAGAGGCCTTTCTAATGAAGTTTCTGCCTCTACTCTCTAACAAACACCTGCTCTGTCTTGATTCCCACTTACAAGGATATGATTGTATTCAAGTTTTACTATTTATGGTCTTTTCACACCATGAATGTTCACATTTTGGCCTATTCATACAAGTATTACTAGCACCCAAAATAAATCTACACCTACTAAAGACCTGTTTTCTAAATATTCATGCCTATCTTCATGTCTTCTAAGTTGTACCTGTTTTCCCACTTTTCTTCCAGGTCAAGACTGATACAGTTCTGATCTTATGTAGAAAGAAAGTGGAAAACACAAGGTGGGATTACCTGACTCAGGTTGAAAAAGAGTGCAAAGAAAAAGAGTGAGTCACTTTCATTTTTTAAAAGAATTTTAATGTATTTGAGATTATGGATTTTTAATAGTTTGTCTTTATGGTTTCAGCTATCAGTAACTATCTGAAGAGGGCACATATCCAGCAAGTTGCTTTTTAAGAAGGTCTTTGTAGTTAGGGTTGGCTCTTTAGTGTGGTTCTTAACCCTAGGCACAGTTGTGCTTCTACGTGAATACTGTGCCCATTCCCAGAAACATTTGTTTCAGTAGTTCCAAAGAGGCTCAGATACCCCTGTATGTTTTAAATTTTTCAGATGGTTGTGATATGTAGTTGTTTTCATTGTCACTGGTTTAGAGTGAAAAAAAAATCTTTATGCTTCTTAATGATGACTTTTTAAAAATGTTTATTTGATGATACTTGCATTGTAGGTCAGTTTATCTTCTAGAAGTACTGACCAAAGATGATGCTGTCACCACTAGGCCTAGATCTGTGTAGCTCAGGCTTAAGAGGAAAGCTTTTCTAATTAAAAAATACATGAGCTTCAGGGTACATCCATGTGTAATGTACATTTGTGTGTTTTTTTTCCCCCCAAATTATGAGGAAACATGCTTTAAAAAAATTAAAACAAGTTAGAAAACCAAATCCTTGCTTATTTTGCCTGTTAAAAAATCACAGGGGTGGAGGAGTGGCTCATGCCTATAATCCCAGCACTTTAGGAGGCAGAGGTGGGTAGATCACCTGAGGTCAGGAGTTTGAGACCAGCCTGGCCAACATGGTGTGAAACCACATCTCTACTAAAAATACAAAAATTAGCCAGGTGTGGTGGCCCATGCCTCTATAGCTACTCGGGAATTGCTTGAATTCGTGAGGCGGAGGTTGCAGTGAGCCAAGATCATACCACTTCACTCCAGTCTAGGTGACAGAGCAAGACTCTGTCTCAAAAAAATAAATCACAGGAAATCCCACTGCCTCAGAATAGCCCCTTAATATTGTGATCACTCTTTCATGCATCAAGTTTGTGCATGTTTGGTAGGTGTGTGTTTTCATTAAGATGAATTTGCATGCTGTTCTGATTGTGAGTATCTTTCTTTGGATGATGCTCTGTCTTCTCTCAATCTCCATCCCTCTACTTCCTGTCAATGTTAACCTGAATTATGCTATCTTTCCATGCTTTTGATTCTCCATTATTGTATGTTTTCTTTTTAACAGGAAGCCCTCCTATGACACTGAAACAGATCCTAGTGAGGGATTGATGAATGTTCTAAAGAAAATTTATGAGGATGGAGATGATGATATGAAGCGAACCATTAATAAAGCCTGGGTGGAATCGAGAGAGAAGCAAGCCAAAGGAGATACAGAATTTTGAGATTTTTAAAGTCCTTTTTGGGAACTGTGATGTGATGAGGGAATACTGATGTTCCCAATAAGGGAATATTGGCGAGCTGCATATATAAATTTGACAGATAGATAGCTATTTACATAGCCTTCTAAGTAAAGGCAGTAAATTCTCCATTTCCTACTGGAGGATTTATTTAAATAAAATATGCTTATTAAACACAACTGCAAAGATGGTTTTGTTAGTATCCTGGTCATCTTGTTCAAGGAAGGGTTATAATTGCATTCTCTTGTGAAATATAAAAAGCAAGTCTTGCCCAAGTAAAAGGCTACACTGTGTGTATTTTTGTTCACCTAAGAATTAAAACAAAAGTATTTGCTTGCCTGTAAGTTAATGACATCAGCGTCCACCAATGTAAAAACTGAGTAAAACCTGAATTTTTGCATAAAATGCAAATCTGTGCCTGTGCCTGAAGGTTGTAGAACATCTGACCCCTTATTAGCAGCTTAAGCAATGTATATGCCATGTATTACCGTGCACTAATGCAATCACAAATGTTTCTATCTAGATTTAAATGTATTTGTTAACAAAGGTAGAATAGAAACCAAACCTAAACATGACAATAGACAAACATCTTTGTATGGTACCAGTTAGTTTTGCCATGGATCAGATGGTTTATAAAATTAACCATAAAACAAAAGATAATTTGAAAGCCCATCTATTCCTGTGCTCAATAAAGTTTTTCTTCATTAGAACAGTTTTATGATTTGTTTGTCTAGGAGTATGTCAGAAAAGTGAGGCTTTTAGTAGGAATTATTACTGTTACCTCTGATTTCAGGAGCAGTGCCATTGATCTCCATTATTGTATTTTACTGGAGGTATTAGCCAATCAATGCAGTCAGATCAGAGAAAGCAACTGAAGCCAGGCATGGAGGTTGGCACCTGTAATCCTAGCTACTTGGGAGGCTAAGGCTGGAGGATCACTTGAGCCCAGGAGGAAGGCTGCAATGAGCTATGATCATGCCACTGTACGCCAGCTTGGATAAGAGATCGAGAACCTGTTTCATATAAAAAAAAAAAAAAAAAAGCCAATTAGACACACAGGGAAAATCCAAAAGGGTAAAGCTACAATTAATATGGGAATTTGGAAAAAAAGGTAGGACTTAAAATACAGAAAGGGTTTATGTATAGTATGCCTGTAAGTAAATACTGAAACACATGCCTCTGTAATTGGTGTTAGCACACGAATAAATAGACCAGTGGAACAGAAGAGCAGACACAATGCATAGAAAGTAGAGTATGGTAAAAGTGGCATCTTTTTAAAAGTGGAATAAAGATGGGTTTTTAATAACTAAAAACAGGCATATAGATATATCTCAAGCAGACTGAAGATCTAATTGTAAAAATGAAAGCATACAAGCACTAGAAGATATGGATGGAATTCCAGTATGACCTAAGGATGGGGGAAAACTAACCTAGAAGGAATAAAACTATTGATCAATTTTAGCTACATTAAAATGTTTATATGACAAGAAAAACCCCACTATTAACCCAAACCAAACGATACACTGACAGGAGTCCAACAATTAAGAACAAATATTTCATAGAAAAATGTAAATTACGTTTAACATGTAAAGATGCTCGCCTTGTTAGAAGAGAATAAACCAGTTTTCTACCTTCCGCTGGAAAAATAAGTATTGATTGTTGAGGTTATGGAGAAATAAGGACACATGGGAATGGAATGAAAAAAATAAACTTTGGTTAACACTCATATGGAAGAGTATTTGAGCTGGGTGCGTGGTTCACACCTGTACTCCCAACACTTTGGGAGGTCCCGGCAGGTGGATCACTTGAGGTCAGGCATTCAAGACTACCCTGGCCAACATGGCGAAACCCTGTCTCTACTGAAAGAAAAAAAATTAGCTGGGAATGGTGGTGAGTGCCTGTGATTCCAGCTACTCAGGAGGCTTAGGGACAAGAATCACTTGAACCTGCGAGGCAGAGGTCGCCACTGCACTCTAGCCTGTGTGACAGGGTAAGACTGTCTCAAAAAAACAAAGTATTTGGTAATAGCCATCAGAATTACATACGCATTCATCCTCTGACTCAGACTTTTAACTTCAGGGCTCTGAAACGTACATTTACAAAAATTTGGAATGCTACATGCAAAAGATTGGAAGTACCCAAGCGTCTTTTAACAGGAATGTATTATGGCACATCCACATGAGGGAGTAAAGTTGCAAGACAATGAAGATGATTTCTATAAAATGCAAAATGGTCACCGGGATACAGTAAGTGGAAAAGCAAAGTGCAGAACATCATTTATGGTATACCTACTGCCTTTGTATAAGAAAAGGTGGGAAATGTGAATGTATGCACATAGGTGTATTTGCTTATGTTTCAAAAAGAAACTGGAGTAAACCCAAAGCTAATACAAACTGTTACCAGCAGGAGAAGGAAAGAGATAAAGATGGAATTTTTTCTAGAGTTTTGACTTCAGAACCATCTAAAATTGAACATGATTGAAGAAGTAAAAATGACCCTCAACCTAACCAGCACATTGTATTGGTCTCTTCCTGTTGCTGTAACAAAATACCACAGACTAAGTAATTTATAAGTAATATTTATTGGCCAGGCGTGGTGGCTTATGCCTATAATCCCAGCACTTCGTGAGGCTGAGGTGGGCAGATCACAAAGTCAGGAGTTCAAGACCAGCCTGGCCAGCATAGTGAAACCCTGTCTCTACCAAAAATACAAAAATTAGCCAGGTGTGATGGCACGCACCTGTAGTCCCAGCTACTCAGGAGGCTGAGGCAGGAAAATCACTTGAACCCAGGATGCAGAGGTTGCAGTGAGCCGAGACCATGCCATTGCACTCCAGCATGGGTCACAGAGCAAGATTCCATCTCAAAAAAAAATAATTTCTTTCAGTTCTGGAGGCTGGGGAGTCTCAAGATTTGGCACCAGCAGACACATCTGGTAAGGTCTTGCTTTCTGCTTCCAGTATGGCGCCACCTTACAGTATTGGAAGGGTGGTACAGTGTGGAGCCCTCCTGGCCTAACTACCTCCTAAAGGCCCCACCTCTTAATACCAATGCATTGTGGATTAGATTTCAGTGTGAATTTTGGAAGTACATAAATGTTCAAACCATAGCATATATAGTTGGCAGTATAAACTACTTTCAAGTAACTTTAGAACACAAGTGTTTGCCCACTGGTAGTGAGATGGATTCTAAGGACAAAAACACAAGTGAATCTAAAACTAATCACTAGTGTTAGTAAAATTATAGTATGTTGAAACTTTTAATATATTTTATGATAAAGGTAAATAGGCTGATGTCATTAGGAGCTAACGTTTTTATGTGAAAGAAACACAACTCTAAAATCAACGTAAACTCGCCATTGTTACTTTTTTTTTTTTGACACAGGGTCTCGCTCTGTTGCCCAGGCTGGAGTGCAGTGGCACCATATGAGCTCACTGCAACCTCAGCCTCCCAGGTTCAAGGGGTTCTCCAGCCTCAGCCTCCTGAGCTGGGACTACAGTCATGTGCCACCATGTGCAGCTATTTTTTGTATTTTTTGGTAGAGACAGGGTTTCACCATATTGGCCAGGCTGGTCTCGAACTCTTGACTTCAAGTGATCCACCTGTCTTGGCCTCCCAAAGTGCTGGGATTACAGGCGTGAGCCACCGCACCCGGCCTAGCTATCAGCACCCCCTAGTGCTCAGTGTGGTCTCTAAATTAAACACCATTTCCCTCAAAAAAGACCAGGAACCCTTGGAAAAAATGTCTGAGGCAGGAAATGCACAAAGCAAACCTAGGTTAGCTTATGTCAGAAAGCAAGGAAATACTGAATAATCTGTAGCAAGTCAATAGGATACGGGAACCAACTTAAGGGGCTCCCACTGGTAATGGGACAATTTGAGCAAGAAATAATGAATGCAATGGATTGAAACAATACATACAAAATTTGCAAGTTCACAATGACAGTGAAAAGTAAGTGATTTGTTAACATTTCCACTGGCTAGAGCACCAACTTATTTACTCTGAAAATTGTTAAAGAATCATCCATTAGGTCAGGTGCAGTGGCTCATGCCTGTAATCCCAGCACTTTGGGAGGCTGAGGTGGGCAGATAATGTGAGATTGGGAGTTTGGGAGCAGCCTGACCAACATGGAGAAACCCTGTTTCTACTAAAAAAACTTGGCCAGGCATGGTGGCACATACCTGTAATCCAAGCTACTCAGGAGGTTGAGGCAGGAGAACTGCTTGAACCCAGGAGTCTGAGGTTGTGGTGAGCTGAGATCACGCCATTGCACTCCAGCCTGGGCGACAAGAGCAAAACTCCATCTCAAAAAAANAAAAAAAAAAAAAAAAAAAAAAAAAAAAAAAAAAAAATCAATTTATCTTGAAGAAATGAATTTCAGGAAAATAAATTGCGATAAGGAAGGGTTCTTGACACAACTTCTGGCCAACACAGAAACATTATGGAATTAGAAAATTACAATTGCAAACCTTAGTAAAACAGTAGATCAGGGTAATCACCAATGAAAAGCAAAAACTGCTTGCTTCAGCAGCACATATACTAAAACTGGAAGGATACAGAGGTTAGCATGGCCCCTATGCAAGGATGACATGCAAATTTGTGAAGCATAAAATGTAAAACAAAACAAAAAGCAAAAACCATTGAGTGGCAGGTTAATGAATGGTTAATTTCAAATGCAAGGACCAGGTTAATCCCACCCAAACCCGCTGGTCAATCTAAGCATCATTAAAAGTTAGACAACCAGATACGTGCCTTCTGGGCACCAGTACACAGCACTGCTGTTGAAAGTTTGTCTCTAAAACACAGAGCCTGACTCTAGGCCAGTCTCAGTGTAACTACCAATTTATAGGGAATTTGGGTGACAGGACTAAATTAAAAGATGCATGAAAGAATCAAACAGCTAAATGTTGGACATTGTACAGGAGAAACGGCCTAGTTCCTCCAACAAATGAATGACATAAAGGAGTGGAGGAAGATGTTTATCAGGGATTTAAGAGATGTGGCCACGAAATGAAATACATGGATCATACTTGTACTCATTCAAACCAAAAAGATGTGGGGTGTCCTTTCAATGATATGCCAGAAGTCAGTAAATCTGATTGTTCTAGTTATGATTAACACTAGTTACTAGCTAAGATACTAGCTAGAACATTCCAGTTGGTAAGTTGTCATACATATTTAAGAAATATAAATCCCAACTAGATTGTGGTAATTCCCTCATAACTTCACCTCCACCTGAGTTTCAGACTGCTATCCAGCTGCGTACTAGACTTCTCCATCAGATGACACAGGCATCTCCAACACTGCATGACTGGAACCTGAACTCGTGGATCTTCTGTTTTCTCTAAACCTGTTATTTTTTCAAATTTTCTATCTTGGAGCTGCCCTCTACCATCTATCTAGACACTGTTATCAGGAACCCAGAGAGCCATCTTTACCTTTTAATCAGTCTTGTAAGTCTTGCCCAATTTTGTTTCCTAGAACTTTAAAAATCTGTCCTCTCTTCTCTACCTATACCAAGATGTTAGTTCAGGCCTTCATCTTCCTCAACAATTAAGACATCCTCCTAATTGGTTGTTTTGCCTGTAGCCTTTTCCTCTCATGGCCATCTGCCACACAGCTGTCACTTACCTGTATAACAAACTGATGATGTCATTCCTTTGCTTAAAACTCTCTCATACCTGGTATGTTGGTCTTCGTTCCTTCACGTGACTTGTGAGATCCTCCACGATACAGCCTCTGTCATGTGCTTCATATTTCTGATCCACTGAAGTGACTGTGGTTCCTCTGTTTGATGCTAGAGAGTGTCTTTGCTTCTTTGTGCTTTTGTTCCGACTGCGTGCAGAAAAAATCTCATCCTCACCTCCTGATTTATTAAGTTCTCCAGGAATATTTTCCTGATGTTAAGTAGGTATTTCCATTCTAATATGTCTATTTTTATCACTGGGCTAATCACACTGTTGAGTTACTGAGTGAGAACTTCTTGCTACCCTTACTCATTTCTGTTATAGATTAAATAAACATAAAAATAGAGAATATATACTGCTCCAACAAAACTTTTCCTCTCTCGATAAAGATTTTCAAGGGCTTAAAGAGGCATAATTTGTTTTAAAGTCCGTTAAGGATGGACAAGAAAACACTTAGTGGTTCTTTTGTGCAGCCATCATACAAAGAAGTGGAGCATTAGGATCATCCGGAACAGCAGCCTTGCTATCCCCACCTACTGTTTATCTAACAATAATAGTAAGGGGAGCTCCGCCGTTCAGGACAGCTAGCCCAGCATTACAAACTGCTATAGATGAGCTACATGTCAATTAGTTGGATTACGTGTAAGATAATATTTTATGAAATAATGCTCTTAAAAATACAAAAACCCTGGGCCAGGCACAGTGGCTCATGCCTATAATCCCAGCACTTTGGGAGGCTGAGGCAGGTGGATCATGAGGTCAGGAGTTCAAGACCAGCCTGGCCAATATGGTAAAACACTGTCTCTA